GGGGGGGGGGGGGGTTAGTCGAAGCTCCTTTAACTCCGGTCGGGCACAACGGGCAACTGCAGCTCCCGACGACTACAATGCTGCCTTGTACTGCTGTACCGTGAGAGCAGCGGCTTGAACGGTTCGAGGAAGACTTATGTCTTCGACAGCCACATTTTGGAGATATAACGAGAGAGCAAGATGCAGGGGACCGGGCGGAGCGTGTGGATTTGGAGTAGTGAGGCGGGCAGGGTGGCGGAGGTCGAGAACCAGGTGGAAGTGGACGAGAGAGTGCATCGTGACATCGTGACAGAGTCTTCAAGGGTATAGATGTGCATGAAACACAAAAAGGCTAAAAAATGCTGAGCAACTACTGTAACGATGCGGTACCTGAGCATTGAGCAGAACAAGTACACTGCTGGCCAATGGGTGTGCACAAACACACACGCCTGTGGATCAATGGATGTACATACATAAGACAAGGATGATCTCTGCTGCGCTCAGCTGTGAGCATTTGAAAATCCATTCGCCATCAAACAAATCCCGTCTCTTGTAATTATTGGCGCACTCACCGGGGCAACGCGTGAGCCTAGAGCCCACGGCGGTAAAACCACGGCAACAACGACTGGCTGCAGCAGCACCCACGCCACCACTCCTGCGGACGACACATGGCCACACTCAACACCACAATACCGATAAGTAGCCATGTCGTCAATGGTGAGCTATCTGCAACGGGGAGGTACTTGGAGTTTGCTACACGAGGGGTACCAGAGAGTAGGGCAAAGACAGCCAGCGGTGCCTCTCACGGCAAGCAAACAGGAAGAAGCAGCAGCCCAGCAGCAAGCAGGGGCGTTCCCCGCTCACCTCTGCGAATCCTCCTGGCCCCCCTGCTGCCGTACTCGCCGCGCGGCCTGACCTGAACCCTCATCTCCCGGATGATGGGTCCCGAGTCCTCCTCCTCCATTGGCGGCGTCCTCACCACATCGTCCTCCTTGGGGATACCGAACACAAGCTTCCGAGTCGCTGCCGCAGCAGTAGTACTCGGTGGAGTTTCCTCTGCTGCTGCTGCAGTAGCGGACGAGAGGGGTCTTGCCCTCGACGGCACCGGCGCAGCTCTGCCAGTAGCAGCAGCAGCTGGAGCTGCTGTTGTTGCCGTTGTTGCTGCGGCACCTGATGAAGGCCGTCCACGAACAACCAGCGAGGCGGTAGCGAGCAATGCCTGCTGCTGCTGCTGCTGCAGGGGGTGAGCCGGTGCCCGCCGTGAGGCTGCCGTTACCAATCGGCAAAGCATCGTTCCCTTCCTGGCAGCGCTCTCTGCTTCAGTAGCTGTCACGTGCGTGCAGTGTGCCACACAAGGAGGGTGCTGTTGCTCTGCCCCCTGTTCCCTCTTGAATCAGCACACAAGGAAAAGTGTGCATTTTTTCGGCAGGGGACAGGGGATTTTCGTCCCCCCCTCCCCTCTATTCTCCATTTTTCCTTCCTTCTGGTCGAACAGCAACACACCCATGACCGACGAGCGATAGAGCTACTGGAAGGAGAGCCAATACAGCATACCCAGACCAGCAACATCAGTGCCGGTGAGTGTATCCCCTCTCCTCGGCTGTTGCATGCCTTGCATTGCCCAGTGCTTGGTTTGGGAATTTTTGGGAAAGGACTAAGCGTGCACGCGGCACACGGGCCTACCAAGGGGCAGACATGACCCAACGTTTTGAGCATCAGAGAAAGAAGAAGTGAGCAGACACATCTGCCTTTCCCGCGTGCCAAGCAAGGGTTTGCCGTGGGTCAATGCTGCGGGAGAGCATGCGCGAAGGCCCAGTCTCCGTTGGGCAGCAGCGGCGCAGTGTCGCAGGTCGCAGCACCTGCACGTGTGTCTGCTCTTTCTCTCTCTCTCTTCCGCTGTCCCTACTCGCCGTGTTCCGTCTCCCCAAAATATAACGCTTTTTTTCCTCTTTTTTTTTGAAAGCCCCCCCGCGCGTCGTTCCGCGGATGCGACGGCGGCGAATAGCAAGTTGGCAATTGTGCGGCTGGAACTCGCCGCCGCACGTGCGTCTTTCAATGTCTCGTCCTCATGACAGGAGACGACATAATTTTTTGTGATGGATGCACGCTTTTTGGTGTTGCTGTTGGTGTGTTCCGTTTGTCGGCGAGGTCTTGTTCTAGCTTATACAGGGGTCTCTCCTTGTAGCGTTCGACTTCTCTTTCTTGTACATGTAGCAGAGCCTGTATTTTGCCCAGAGTTCATCGTAGGCGTTGGTCGACTCCCGCGCCAAGCTCGGCGACCGTCGTCGCTGTCGCGGGATGCGACGCGCAAGCAAGACTAGGGTCTGTTTGTCCTCCACATGGAAAATTAGAGGCCGTTTTCTCCCTTGTTTGCATGCCGCCTTTGGTGTGTATCTTTATCGGTGTGCATCTCAAAAGCTCCATATGCGTGTGTGTATTCGTTGTTGTTGTGTGGTATGTTCTGCTGTATGGGGCCACGGCAGCTCTCCTTTTTGCAAAGGTGCAAAGGTGGTTGGAGTTCCCAAATATTAATATTCCACAAGGTTCTCTCTTTCGCCGCGTATCCGCACACCGCGACAACGCCCGCTGCAACGCGCGATTGTTTGTGCATCGTGTCCTTCCACTACGCGACACGAGCTCTGCATGTGCCCCGCCCACCCCCAAGCCCGTAAGGCGATCCTCATCAGCCTTATATTGCAGCAGCAGTTGGCAGTTGCTACAAATATCAGATTTTGTGATCCCGCGCGTTGGGTTTGACGATTGCACTCAAAAGTCTTTCCGCCCCACCGCCGTCCCCCTCTTGACTCGCTCTTGCCCGCTGTGCTATCTGTCTTCTGTCCCCTTGCTGCTGTCATACACCCGATGGTACTGCTGTTTTTGGGAGCAGGAACACAGACTTGGAGAACTCTTTGATTTTGCGAGAAGGGAGAGTTTGCGGAGCGTGGAAGAACGGACGCGTGCGGGGACATTCATAGAATTTTGAACAGCTGCAACAATGGTTGAGTTTTCCCCACTACCTGTGCTCTTCGTTTCCAGCGTGGTGAGTTCAAGATGTCTTATAATACAAGTGTATGTTTACTAATATTGTTTTCACTCAACTGAGAGTTTTTTTTCTGATTTTTTGTTGAGTTTTGGGCGGCAGGACACATGTTTCGGCGAGGCGATCATTGTCATCGCCAACAGCCAGGAACAGAAATACATGGGCGTGAAATGTGGGTGGTCGGGCGAACGCGCACGGCCCCAGGACCCACCCTCTCAAAGACACCACTACGTGCCGCGTGTTGTTTCGCCTTACACGAGGGTGACACTTTTTCGTTGCATGCAGACGGCTGCGCACGGTATGTCTCTGAAGGGGGGGGGGGCGGGATGGGCCTTCGCGTGTCTGAATGTCAAATTGGCCGCCTTTTTCTCCACGCCACTTCTCGTCGGGGGGGCGGGGATCTCCGGAGTGACAGATAGTGTACGTAGACGTTTCATGTCGCGCTGGAAAAGGGCGGCTGATGATTGGTCCAGCACTCGGCTCGATCGATGCCCGTTCGCGTTCTATATCCGTGGAGAGGACGGGGTACGCTTGTGCGGCGGGCGGGAGGGAAGGGGGGGATATGCTCTTGAACTCTTCAACCGCCGACAACATGAGAAAGAGTACGTTTCACACGGCTCGTCTTCCTGCTTACGCGCGTAGCTGACTGGAATTGCTTTCCGAAGTAAAAATCATCTGGATGATATGCATGTGTGACTAAACGCCGATATCGAACTTAGTGCATTGGGGCTGCTGATTGCGTATCGTCGAGTTCTGGTTTGGATGACGGCTTGTTCAATGGCACAGCCATTTGAAGCGTAAAGGTAAAGACGTCACATCGGTGGTGTTGAAAGTGAGATCCGTACAATAGCGACAGCAACACGCGTGTCCCTCGGACCGGACCCTTACCAACTTTACCTATCGTCGAAAGTTGTTGTCGGTGAGGGCACACACGCATATGGCACTCGTTACGCCGTCGTCTACCTCGTCTTGGAGACGATTACCGATGCGCCGGCGTCGTGCCGTGGTCGAGTCGTTGGTCTCGCGGATCGGTATACCAACTTTGTTCTGTTATTGCGTAGGTTCTGCTTGTTTGTCTTGCATTCTTGTTCTATCTGTCTGTCTGCCTGTCAGTCTACCAGTGTCTTTGTCGTGCCTAACGATTGTCTGTTTTTCTGTCTTTCATTGACGCGACGCAACGACTCTCAGCTCTACACGATCTCAGCGTTCGATGCCGAGGGCGGCGATGGCAACGGGACCAAGGCCTGGGCTATCTTCTGCGGCCTCATCTCCTCCTTCATCAGCGGAATCCTGGCATTCTTGCAGGTGTCTAACAGCAAGCCCTCCGGTGTTGTCGTTGTTTTTGGTTGTCTACTTGTGTGAAGGTGACCGTAAGAACTTGTTCACGTCTCCCGGAGGTTTGTTGAGGTTGTCTCGCTGTTTTCACACAGGCTGTTGCCATCGGCTGGTCGCGTTGCCGATGACGTCGTTCGCTGGTGTGTACTGGTGATTTCATTTTTAGTTGTCGCTTTCCCACGTGATGAGAGAACGAACGTTAAGCCGATGGTATTTGTGTTGTGCTTTCTTTTCCGCCGTCTTTGTTACAGTACGATTTTGCTCGCAATTGTTTTCCAACAGCACTCATGTACTACTGCTGTAGTAATGCGAGCGCGTGTCGATTCTATCGTCTGCTCAGTTGCGCCTCTGTAGATGCCTCCTCTCGATGAAAAATATCCGCCAAACGGTACCTGCATGCTGCCCGCTTGAGGAGTACGAGGGCCGACGGGGGCTAGACTGCCGTTGGGCTTGCCGACCGTTGTTCGATACCGTGCTTGGCTTCCTTTCTTTTTATTTACAGGTTTTTTACCACTTATTGAGGACGTGATGTCGTTTTTTCCCTTCTTGAACCTGACGGTTTCCTTCTTGACCCCCCCCCCTCCCCCCAATGTCTTCGGTTCTTGCGATATGCCGACGCTGCTGCTGGTTGCGTAGGCACGGGGTAAGGGAGACATGGTCCACAAGTTCCAGAAGTTCATCGCTCTCTTTTTCTTCCTCTGGTGGACTCTCGGGGCCGGTGAGTCGGCAACACCCCCCGCCTGGCCTGGCTAGTGAAACATTGGACATACGCCGCCTCGCTTGGCACGGATGCAACCGTGTGAATGGTTCAAACAAGAGACAGCAGACTTGCGTCATTCCCTCTTTCTTTTTTTTTGTGCACCCAACTTACTGAATTTTGCCTACCAGAAACTGAAGCCGGCGTTGATAATCACCCCCATTAATGTTGAGGCTATGAAGCCGTAGCGCCTGAAGCGTATGGTACCCCGGAAGGATTAAGCTTGGTCTCTCGGAAGTGCCGAGGAAGTAGAATTGACCGCGGGATCTCCGCTCATGCGTGAACCTGTAGTGCGTGTATCCGCGGAGAGGGTTCATTCAGGCCCTGGAAAGTGTTGGAAGGTTTGCGATGGATGGAACCATGGGCACGAAGAAACGGGGTTCGAGATGATGCGCAACAAGCAGCAAAAAGATATATTTTGTTCAAATGTTTCCGAGCGCGTCACGCCAAAATTCTAAATGCACATGGAAATAGATGTACCCTTGCCCCGATTTCTATCGCCGTGTATGCATGTAAACTGGCGGACGGTCGCACAACTTCACCAACAGATGACTCAGATATAACACCGAACAGGCGCACATTTAGGACAGGCACCGCCGATGATGATAAGATTTGCCGTGCCCGAAATAGTGAAATAATCAAGCTTCATTTTCGTACACGTGTCGCAGGCATCGGGACGTTCAAGGGGCCCTTTACGATCTCAGGAAACGGTTACTTCGCGGGCTGGATCGCCTTCGCGGCCTCCCTCAAGTACGCCTACGGCACCAACGACGCCGTCAGGGGCTTCGCCGACCGCGCCGCTGATGCAATGAAGGTAATGGCGGCTCTCTTGTTTCCCGCCCCCCCTTGTATGACTTTGGTGTCTCATAAGGTGGAGGTGGTTCTCTTTTTCGTTCCCCCCCATGGTAGGACTACGGTGTGTCGCAACTTTTTGTGTATCTTTGTCAAGGTGGCTCTCTTATTCTCCCCCTTACGTGACTGTTGGTTAGGGGGGTTTTCGGTATTGGAGTTGTCGAGAGGCTGCATTCAATGATGCCACCTTGATTCGTTTGGCGATGGTTTTGTGCGTGCGAGTAAACCCTACTTTAGTCGTGGGAAGACAAGTGGTACAACTGGACATGCATGCCCTGGCCGCGCGATCCACCCGACAGAAATAGATAGTCTCTTCACCTGACCCGTGTTGTTGGCGTTTCGCCAGTTTTGTCCGTGTGACGTTTAGTGCTCTCGCTCTCTTTTTGGGTGTCGCCAAGTGTTTTTTGCCAGTGCAACCCGTGTGACACGAGCGTTTGGCTGTTTCGTTTCTCTCACCGTACCTTGCTGCCCTGTCGACAGGAGCACCAACCGACGGACCCGGACGCAGGCTTCGACCCGCAAGACCAGGCGGAGGCATACGCCTAAGTCTAAAGCAGCAGCAGCTGCGAGACGGCGGAGTGTTACCTTAGTGTTGGAAGTAGCTATGATGAGAAAAACGGACAACGGCCAGCGTCGAAACGACGACATGAGAAGCAGAGAGACATGGCGACAGATCGACAACCTGGAGCGAGCTCGTTGGGGAGGAACAGCTGAGAGTTAGTCGTGAAGCGGGCAGCTTTTCGGTGTGCAATAAGCTGACGCGTGGGGCGGGATGATGGATTGATGTTGCGCGCAAAAACAAGCAGATGTCGCCCGCGAGCCACACCAGGAGCTTCCGCGCACCAGTCAGGAAGACAAGCGTGGGGCTGAGGCCCACAAGCACGTGGTGTACGGCCGTTGTTGTTGTCGTCGTTTTTCTCGTTGTTGCTGTTGGTTTTTTGTTTCATGGGTTTGATTTAATGTAGTATATCGAGGCATCCAGTGCGGTGTGGTGAATACATACGCATACGTCGAGGGGACGTCAAGAGCTTTGGCTCGCAGGTGGGCAAGTTTTCAAGGCCCAAGCACCGCTCGAAAAGCAAGGTGATAGGTATAGGGGATAGGCAGCAGCAGCATAGCAGTGATAGCACTTGGGAGTAGATGGGTGGCACGCGGAGGACGTGGAAGGGGAGGAAATGAGCGGCCGTCCCTTGCGGAATCATAACAGGTGCGGTGGGATTAATGCCGCTCGGAACGTGTAGTTTATGGTCAATTCTTTTAATCTTGGAAGCAGCTGGTGGCTTTTTCGATTAAACAATTTATCCATTCGTGGAAAAAAACAGTTGTTGACTTGATGCCATCAACCACTCATGTCAGCCGCCCACGATACGCGTTGGTTGCCTGAGAGAGATGCGTCAAGTGAGGCATGGAAAGGGGGCATAAAAATCATGACGCACACGAAACAGGCAGAGATGCCCATCAACCGCTCTCCGACTCTTATTTGTGTACTTCTGCAGCATCTTTTGTTGGCCGTCCCTGTTTTCTCTTTTTCAATCGCTGACGAAGGGAGAAGCCGGAGCTTATCGACAGATGAAACGTTCCTGGGAATTTGCACCACTTTGCTCAACACTGTTTGCCAACTATCGTGTGCGCTACCAATATCCGAACCTCGGCAACGCAACGGCTGTTGTTACTGTGATTGCCTCGCCGTGTTGCATGTGCTCTCTGCCGTCCCGAGGTTGCCGGAAGACACATCAGCCCTCCTGGACCGATTTTCGAAAGCTCACATTCCACGAAGAGGGAGCCAATCAAATGAAGCTAGAATACACGTTATACGTTTTCGGTCAAAGCTCTTTCGACGAGACGGTTCGAAGAAGCCATGTCCGGCATCAACACTGTTTCTGTTACAGAGGAATCGAAGCGTTGGAAAGCTGTCGACGGGGTGGTGTGTATTTAATGCGACCTACGGCAGCTCTCCCGCTCTTTCAAGCGGCATTTTTTCCAGGGCTGCTGTCTTCGTTAACGGTTTTTCATGTCGGTATCATTTCCCGCGTTAACCAGAAACCACGGAACAACACAGTTCTTATTGGGCGGTAACTGGCCACCAAGGTAAATTTTGTACGGCAACTGGTCAGTGCGGTAACATTCTTGTACGGTAACCAGCCACACCGCGGTACAGTAATGCCCAGAAATGTGCATCTTTTTGCGGGAACTGGTCACCACACGGCATAAAGTAGTAAGTTGTACAGTTAACCACATCATGGCACTTTGGGCCGTGCTTCGTTTGCTTTGAAGTGATCCTTAAGCGTGTGGTCACCGCCCAACGAACGTGCGCGACACATTCACCGAGCATCACGTCCGTCAACCAAACCAGCATGAAAAACAGGGTGAAAACCAGACGGGACATGCAACAATGCGATTGCTTCATCAACCGAGGTACTCGACATCAACCAAACAACACTAACGCACTTGTAGTGGTTCTGTGCGGTAGATGGGGTCCTGTTGTTCATGCGGTAATGCACTCGCGGTAACTGGAAAGCACGGGAATTGCGATTGTTGAGCGGTAATTTTTTGTACGGTAATGGGAAAATTCAATTTGTTCGTTAACGGTTTGGGCGTTCGGTAATTCTTATTTTTCACGGGATCACGGGAAAAGGTAGTTACCGTGGTTTTACCGCAGTAGTAAAATTACCGCGGAGAAATTAAGGAAGACAGCCCTGATTTTTTCTAGCGCTCCCGGGCAAACAAATTGGCCAATCAGAAAACTGCGGGCACCTTTATCTCTCTCTCTAGGTAGCTCGGAACCCCACTAAGAAACGTCATGTAACCGTCCTCACTCAGTAGTAAGCAAATTTGCATACTTCTCTGTTCCGACTGGGTCCGTACCAAGTTTTAACATCGATCTGGTCCAACGGGCGCGGACACCATCCGTGGGGTAGTACTGGCCTCCACAAAACCCGTTGATCTTTTTTATCGTTATTGTTGTAACAAAAACACAACAAATGACAAATAAATCTCCTCGTTGATTGTGTGGCTGTCGACCGCGCGAAAGAACGGAAACTGGACGACGTTTTCCGCATTGATTGCAAGATGCCAACAACGCAAAAAGGATCCCGCCAAACGGATGAATCTTTGCAGCAGACAAAACAAACACAGTTCAGTCTCCATGTATTCTCCCACCCACACTGGTGAAGTCGAAACCACGAAGATCGGCCTGACTAAACAAACAGAGAGGCAGCAGCACCCGAGCCGTGTGACGCCCACCCCGCAAAAAATAAACACAGTATCACCGCAAAGGTGAGTGTCGCTAACAATGATGACGATGGAGAACCGAAAACAACAACACAGCACTCTTTTTCTTACCCTCCCCCCTTCTCTCCTCTCCTCTCGAAAAGAATCTCCGCGGTCCAATAACTACAACCGCCCAGCCAGGTGGGTTTGTTTCTGGAAAAAAACTGTTGTGTTCTTCACAGCACCACCTGACCTGTAGAATAACAACGCCTGCCTGCCTTGGTTTTTTCCACACCTACCAATACCACCGTTGAACGACAGGCCAAAAATAACCTCACAAATACTAAATAAATGTAGCGCATACCGGTAGTTATTACGCACGAATAGAATACTCCCTGTCACTGGCGCCGTGCTACACCCCCCACACGCAATTAGCCACAAAGATACTATAGGCATCGCAAAACAAGGAAAACAGCAGCAGCAGCAACCGTGGTGGCTTCACAGCTGACTCGAGTTACGTAATAAAACATGCCATGTTGTACCGCCTTTAGTCGATTCTCTGGAATCTTTCTGCACAACAAGCCATCCCCAAGATGGACTGAAAGTAACAAACATAAACATTTAACACAGCCTACCGCAGAGGGAGGTGCGGCTCGACACAAGTTGGACAAATCGACAAAACAAGACAACAAACGACCTAAACGCGAGGGGCGGGAGGCTCGACATAAGTTGGACCAATCAACAAGTAATTAAACAGCTCAACAGAACGAATCAAGGGGCAACAACCAAAACAACAGCGAATCGTGCACTCAACCATGACACTTCTCCAAACACGAAAAACAGGAGGAGTGCGTCGGGAGAGAGGAAAGGACGCGAAAGATGCCACATCCCCTCCGGTAGCAACAACATCCGAAGGGTGATTTCTGCTTAGACCTTCGCTTGCTTCTCGCCCAAAACCAAAACGCCTGGCCAACACGCCATCATCCACGCAGCAACCGGTGTGCTGTGGACATAACTCCTTCAAAAAACCGCGGGCAACGGCATAATAACACAATCATTACCGACAGACAGCTTGCAATCGACGAGACCGAACACAGGTGCGGCCGACGCTGGAATGGAATATCGAACCACATGCTCCACTTTTCTGCATGGCTACGTAGGTGCGCAAAATCTAACGAATCATCAAAGGTATCGTTGCCTCCACCAAAATTTGATACTACTATTCGTGTTATTATACATGTGCCTTTCTAACAACAGAAAACTAGCCAGCCTGACGACAGACGAAACGAAGATCACCGCAAGACATCCTTCACACTGCGTGTGTGTGCGTTCCGAACGGGAATCGAACCGTGAGCGCAACACGCAACAAACCTCATCGACAAGAACACCAGACGCATGCACGCAATCGATCACAACCCATGGAGGGGGGAAGGGAAACAGATAAGACCGCTTTCAAAACGAGCAAAAACACGTACTTCTTTACTGAGACAATACAGGTCGCGATTGCTGCAGCGAATGCGCAGAAACCAATGCTGCAAACAAGACACAAGAGTGTGGGAGTCGGTGGAAGCAAACAACCAAAGCCTGCACACCGCAGGAAGCTCTCCCCGTATCCGCGACTCCTCCAAACAAATGTACGCATGTCCTGCCGGCCACAAAAATCCGCCAAGCAACGCAGAGCCCACACGTAAAAAATAAAAAAAAAAAAAACGGGAGGGGTCCGTTCCCGAAGAAAACAAGCCCAACCCAGTTGTTACGTTTTGTTTTTTTTTTCCCTTTTGGGTCAACCAAAGGGCACCCCAGCATGGATGGGGGGCACAAAAAAAAAAAAGACCAAATTGGGGGGGGGGAACCGAAAGGCCCCTAGAAAAAAAAAAATCAATCCCGGGCTGGAAATGATGCCTCCCTTCAGCCCCCCCCCCCCCCGCGCGCGCGCGCCCTTTGCCTGTTCGCTGCCTGCCTCCTCTTACCGATCAGTAAGGAGCAGCAGGCCGTCCCCGTGCGAAATTATGGCACCACGTTGCTTACGCCCTTGACGCCACATACCCTTTCAGCAGCCACTCCCAGATTCCCCCGACAAGCACGCAAGCAAGCTAGCGAGTAAGCGAGGGCTAACATACCCTAATAACCACGGACCGTCAGTCAATCCACCGTCACACGAGACAGAGAGAGAGAGAGAGCCAGATCAGCCACAGCCCGCGCCCCCGCCAACACGACTCCGCGCCGAAGGCAAGACATAGCCAACACACGCGCACCCACACGACGCGCACACGCTTGTTGCTGTAGAATTTCGGCCCGGCCCGCTTCCGAGGGGGGGGGTGGACCTTGAACTCTACCCTCCGTCACCGGCGGCATGCCCAATACGGTCAGCCGGTGCCAGACCAAAGTGCTACTGTAGTAGTTAAAAATAAGCACACACATGACACGAAAGAGAGGGTCGCATGAACGACCGCCGGCACCAACAGCAGCCGTCGAAAGGCGCTCATGAGAGAATGACCAATGCCAAAGCCAAGCAGGTATCGCGTTCGGGAGGAAACGACAACGAGGTCGACATCTCGCTCCGCGTCGCCCAGCAACCGGTGGTCGGAATCCTATCCTCGCGGGAAGTGAGGGGGGGGGCTCCGCAGAACGCCAGCCCCTTATCGGAACGCCGTGAGGTCCGGCGGAGTGCGTTTCCCCCCCCCCCCCTCCCCTCCCACCGCATCATGGAGTTACACGCCCCCCTCGTCGGAGTTGCTGCCGAGTGATGCCTCGCTACTTGACGCTGTCGGAAGGACGCAGGGAACAAAAAGAGCGAGACGACACAGACAGACAGAACAGACAGCCCCGTGGGAATAATGTTTAGTTAGCATACGGATATCGTCCTCGCGGAGCAAGACGACACAGCAAGAGGCGCGTTGTTGTGATGCAATGAACATGCCACATTTCGGCGCGTTGTTGTGATGCAATGAACATGCCACATTTCCTGCTCGTTCGTTCTCACCTTCGCCCTTTCTGGAAGCGGACGCGGTCTCGGCGCATCGCCTCTTCTTCCGCTTCGCGGCGCACACGAGGCAGCCGAGCAGGAGCATCACCCCCACGGGGGCAGCGACGGCCACTACCACGGTCTTGTCCATGCCTGCGGCGGCCGGGCGGGATGCGCAAGGAATACACGCACGTCGCGTCCGCCACGTAAAAAAAAAAAACATGCGGAAGAAAGAATCAGACGGCCGGAATGAACGAAAGGACAAGGCACACGCTCGCGAAGGGGAGTAAAAAACAAAAAAACGAAAACAAAAAACGAGCAAGGAGAAGTCGTTCTACGGCAAATCGACTGAGTTATTGCCTCTTTCTCCAGACGAACCTAACGCGGCAGACCAGACCAGACGCAGCACACGCAGTTCAACACGAGTCGAGAGGACGCAACACCTTCTCAACATCCCGCCGCACGACTTCGAACTCCGAGCATAAACGGCGACTCAATAAAGGGAGCGGGGCCTCCAACGACCACTCCGCTCTAGCTTCTAGCCTGGGCTACTGGCTAGAACGACGATGGTTCTGCTTTTTCTTTTTTTTTCTCTGGATAACACCTCGTCGGCTCTCCATGCTCCACACAGCGTACAGCAGTGTTTCAACAGCAAGTCGATTCCAACCCAACCCCAACAGCCTCTAGACCCGATCGACACGTACCGTCGATGGCCCCGGCGACACCCCCCCTGTCCGTGTCCTCCTCGGCCTCGACCGCGATGGCGGCGGTGGGGCTCGGAGTGGGAGGCGTCGTGACAGGGACGACAGGGGCAGGGGTGGGTGGCGCCACGGGCGACGGCGTCGGCAACGCCGCAGCGAGGGTAGGCGACGGAGTCGAAACCGGCTGGGACGTAGCCGCAACCACGGGGGGCAGGGTGGTAGGGGCGGTCGTCGGTGCCTGGGTAGGAGCAGCTGATGGCGACGGCGACAGGGAAACGGGGGAGGGGGGGGGGGGGTCGAAGCAAATTGAAAACAGACTCATGGGTACATATGCTTATTGCACGAAGCATTGGGTTCGGTGACTCCGTTTAATGTGGGGATCCATGCGCCGGGGTAGGAGCAGCAAATGGCGACGGCGACGGGAGACGAGGGTTCAAAAACAATTGGTGTTCTACAAGAGCTGTGGGGCTGATGACTTCCTTTTCATTGTTTTTGTGGGAACAGCTGTCAACACCGACGCCGACAAAATTCCGACGGGGCGTGGACCCTCAGACGAGTTACAAGACGCCATCCCGAAAACATGATCAGACAGGAGGGTGCATCACAGGTGCGAGGGGGGCGGGGGAGGGGCTGCCGCAGCGGCAAAAAACAAAACAAAATGAAAGGCAACTTAACCGATGGCACCAACCAACACAACGCCAGCCGGCGCTTTGCGACCGCTATCAAAAGACGGCGCGGAATCGTAGAAACACAAGTGCAGACAGCAGTATTTCCGCTGACCCTACACCTCAGGCTCTTTATTTATCTGCTGTGAAAGAAGAGATCGAATACTTTGTTGCGTCAAAATCAACACAGACTTTTTTTATCTGCTGTGAAGGAAGAGATCGAACATTTTGTTGCGTCAAAATCAAGACAGACTTTTTTATCTGCTGTGAAAGAAGAGATCGAATATTTTGTTGCGTCAAAATCAAGACAGACTTTTTTATCTGCTGTGAAAGAAGAGATCGAATAATTTGTTGTGTCCAAAAAAAAAAAAACTCTTCCTCTCACCGGTGGCAGCCGCCGCGGTGGAGACGACGGTCCGCGCCAGCGCCACCGCCGTGCGGTTGGTCCCGAGGTTAACCGCCGGGAGGCTGTCCCCCATCTGCCCGGCCGAGACGCCCCTAGGGTCGCTGTCCTCCAGGCCCAGCTGGCCCCCCGAGTTCTCCCCCCAGCACTTGAGGCTCCCGCCTTCGAGGATCGCGCAGGTTCGCTGTCCCGCGGCGGCGACGCTGAGGGCGACGCTGTCGGTACCGAGGTCCA